GGGGAGCCCCCGGAGCTCCGGGACAGCCCAGCCGAGGGGACAGCGGCCGCTCCTGCCACCCAGGTGTACTTCTGCAGCTCCCTTAATCCCTGCTGCAGTGAGATCACAGCTAAGACTGGTGAAACGAGGACATCTTAAAGACATATAAGGCACCTCTGCAGCCTGTCTTAGGATCTTAATCAGCACATTGAGATCAGGAGACTCTATTTAAGAGTTCCTGCCTTACATTGAAACATCTGCTCCGCCCTGGAGGGGCAGCAAAGGCACCCCAATCCCTCCTGGTAGAAAGTTCTATTTACTTCATGAATTTTTGAAGCTGCCTCATGAATTAATGCACTAAAATAACTTTCATAGAGTCCTCATTTACAAATGCTCCCTGGAAATATTGGTAGCATTTAAAATATACACCTAAAAATAAAGGAAGTGAACATTTAAAACTCTCATTTGGCAACAGCCTGGAGGAGGAAGCCCACGTTCACAGTGGGGCTCAGCACAGTAAGAAATAGTGTGAGGGGCTGAACAGGGACCCCAAATGAGATGCTCACAGAGGGGGAGATCATGGGAAATGAACTCCACAGACCTCAGCTCTCCCTCAGGTGGTACTGCCCAAAAGGACAAGTACCATCCTCATCTCATCCCTGTGGATCCTCACCTCCCTCTGGTAAGGGTCTGGAGATGTGCTGGCAAGTGCTGCACCTTAGACCCAGGACCACTAATAGAAACTTTTCTTCTGGCCAGTGGTAGCACTTGTCTGATAAGAAAAACCCTTTCTTGGTCACCCAACCTTCTGTGAGACACTTGGAAACCACCAGAAGGTCATCTCAGTCCCTCCTGCCTCAGGAGCAGACAAAGCACAAGACCACCAAGCTCTCCACATGTCTGGTCTTTCAGACAAGATCTCAGTACAAGGTTCAGCCAGGTCTGCACAGGTTGAAACATTTGACCAGCTTCCTAAAAGCACCTCTTGCTCAAGGCAAAGCAAAGTTCGTGTGCATTGGTCCTTCCTGGCTGGCTCACCCCACAACCAGCTCCTATTGCTGAGGTGAAGCCCTGGGTGCTTCAGTGTGTAAGGCACTCTGAGATCCCTGGGGATGAAAGGAGCTATATAAATGTAAATCATTCTCATTAATGTAAATTGTGGGACAATGAGATGTTTACAGTGAACAGTCCTAGGGCTGAGCTTCAGAGTGGGTATGTTTCTGTATAATTTCACCGGTGAAGAACACAGCCCTCAGTGCCTGGTAGCAGGACAGCAGAAAAACCTCCATGGAGGATCCGGTTGGGAACTGTCACACACAGTGACCAGGTCAGGCTCCGAGGGCAGCACTGTGGCTACAGAACATTCATCTCCTCCCTTGTGTGCTCCTGAAAGACTTTTCAAAACCTGAAGTCCTCACCTTGCACAATTGTCCACAGCTGATTTGGAGTTTCTCTGTAACTGCAGGAGGTCAATTAGCACTTTTTAAGACCAATTCTAAAAACCAGGTGACTCCACTTCAAACAACTTGGTTGCTAAAGAAGGGAGAACTCACAGAGACTGAAATGTGCAGCTACAACTATGATGCTCACCCTGACTCAGACCCTAGCCAGTATCCACAATATCTTCTAGGAATTATTCTACTGCTTTGGGGTAAACTTTGAACCAGGCCCTTCTATGCATCCATCTCCCAGCCTCTTCATGTTAAGGGACAACTCCCATGCTGTGCTCATCCCAAGAGAACACAGTCTTTCCTCCTAGAAAGCCATTGGTACCCATGGACCAAACCAGAGCATCAACAATTAGAAGAGCCAACTTAAGGCACAGCTTATTGTCTTCACTGGACACAGGGAATGTGACCTGAAGGTCCAACTGAACCTTTGCTCAGGTCAAAAAGGGTGAAAATCTGCAAGCCATGATGAAACTGGAGGAGCAGGGCTGTCCTTTGGTCCTGCAGACTGGAGGATGCAAGTCTGCACTTAAAGGGAGGGAACTATTCCCCAGCAGATGTGGCCGGCTGCCTGCACAAATCCTAGGGCACAACCTGAACTTGTGCAGAGTTTAGAACCAGACTCTGGCTGCCAGGTCATGTGTAGAGCTGTATTTACCTCGGTGTGTGCTAATGCCAGGCCAGGTTCAGTGCCAGAGCTGTCCTGGGATGAGCTCTGAGGACAGCTCTGGGTCTGTGCTAACCCTGGCAGTGTGCAGGAGCAGAGACACACACACACATGCACAGAGGTGCACACAGAACACGCACACAAAGCACCTGCATGGACTGAACAACAGCTCCAGCTTAATCCCAAACTGAGAAGCAAGTGCAAATCATCAAATTTAAATTTCAGCCTCTTTCTTTTCTGTGCTTTTGTTTCAGTATTTAGAGCTCCAACTAACAAAGCAACAGACACAATGCCACCTCCTCGTGAAACACATACTCAGCTCCCTCCATCTGCTCCTTCCCCAAGCCCCCTTGTATTCTGCAAAGCAGATTGTGCTGTGAAATATTAATACTTGGTTGGTTATTCCCAACCCTGAATCTCAAGGCTTGTTCCCAGCTTCTCTCCCCCTTGCATCTTTTCCAGGGATCATGGCACTCAGTGGGTTATGTTACTGCACACTGTACCACGTCTGAGGGGAGCTTTCATAAAAGGGTGGAAGCGGTCCAGAAGCAGCTTCTAGGGAGCCTTCCATCTGCAGCAGCATTTTATTTAGACAGCAGAGGGGAAATTAGATCCCTATGTTGCTGATTGGCTTTGGGAGTTGAATCTTCATTTCTGTAGGAGGAGTTTATTTACACCACTGTAACGAACCCAGTGCCAAAGGTCCCACCGGGACGATCGGCGCTCGGGGGAACGTGGGGAACAATGACTGTTCAGTTCGAGGGCAGCGTGGAGCTGCCTTTAATTCCCACCCTGCTTTCGCTCTAAATTTCTTTGAATTTGACTTTGTTCTATTTAATCTGGATTTCTGCTCCATCTGGCTTCTGAGTAACGATGCCAATTTATTCCATGTGCTTGCTGAAGAAGCTTTTCCTCAGCAGGGGGGAGCAGTTAGGACAGAGCTTCAACAAGTCTGTTTCAGTCCAGCTCTGAACCTCCCTTCTCCAAATGTTCTAAAAAACACATCTGCAAGCAGGAATTTCTGTAATTGCAGTTAATTCAGGTATCAGAACAGTGAACAGAGAAGGTATCCCACTGGAAATACCCTGAACCAGGTCTGACCCGCTGCAAATCAGCTTTGGCATCAGTGGTTGCTAGACTGAGGTGCAAGGCTGATACACAGCCTGGCAGTGGGGACAGCTTGCTCTTCTCCAAGACTCTTGACTCAAGGGCAAAAGGACATTTCTTCTTCTGAGCCCCTACCTGGAGCAGATAGATGGCTATCCAAGCCCCAACCCACTATATTTTTTAAGACCAGATCTACACAGAGCTGAAAAGATGACTTCTCAGTGACATTTTCATGTTTCTTTGGATCAGGTGCTAAATTAGCAACAGGCTTGCTCTTCTTCCAGGAAAAGAACATTTTGGCTACCAAGCCCTTAATCAAACTTCACATCAGTTATGCTTCATCTGTCTCCTGCTCAGTTGGGTAAGACAGGTGGCATCTAAAAGGCAACCCCCACATGAAAATAAACTTTTCCCTTCTTAGACTGTTGAGCAAAGGAGCAGCAAACAACAAGTATGACGGGCACAGCTACAGAGAGCCCCCCATTCCCATGCTCCCTGGAGACAAGGAGCCCAGAGGCAGAGCTGGAGAGGCTGCCTGGAGAGATGACAGGTCCGTGCCACACAGCAAGGCATCCTGCAGCCTGGGCAGGCTCCCAGATTAAACACGTGCTCTGAAACCAGAGGTGAGAGCACAGCTCAGCCTGGGACCTGCACAGCAGCGGGGGTCACAGTGGCACCCCGTGGAGCCAGCACCCACATCCCCGGCAGGATGATGCCCATGGGAGCTCCTCTGCCATCACTCCTATTGACCAACCTAAGCACAGGCACGTGGCAAACCCACTTCTGGACTGCAGCAGAGTCTCAGTTATGGATGTTTATGTTTTTGCAGCACCGTAAGTCACCTTGGATGTCTGGCATTGAGCAAGATAATTTAGCAGGGTTTTCAAACGGCTCAGATTCTTCACCACTGAGGTGTAATGGCCTGAGACCCTCACAGCTATATTTTTTCCTATTCACTTAAGGTCAGAGAGGGCTTAACCTTATTATTTCAGAAGGCTCAAAGCTTTGACAATTATAAACAGGAGAGTAAAAACAAGAGCTAAATTTGTGTAATACATTACTTATCATTTCCCAGCCTCTGAATCCAAGCCAGAAAGGTGAGGATGGCTCTGACAACTACTTTCTTATTTAGGGTCTGGCTTGAATGAGACCTACAGAGCTAACAGTAGGAACAGTTAATACCAAAGTCTGCTTCATGATGTGGATCAAGCAGGTTTGCTCCTACCACACTTCCAGATTTCACAAACACTCTTCCCAAGCAAGACAAACTCGACATAATATGGGGACAAGTGTGCAAATATGTCAATAATAGAGGAGCAAACACAAGATTAGATACTGCTGGTACATTCTCAGTGACCCTGTCCCAAGGGTCCTGCACCTCCTGCCAACAAGTCTTTACTGCTTTTGCTGCTGGACTCCCCTTGCTGGTCACCACAGACCACACATTCCACAACAGACACTTTCCACTGCAGCCTCTCCAGGTATTTCCTTGCACAGAGAATTCTTAGTCACTGGCAAAACTTGTACTGAAATTAAAACTCTGAATAGGCAGTTGCATGCCCCTCCTGAGCCTCCTTGTGCTTGTGACCAGCCAGCATCCCTCTCCAGGAAAAGGGGTCCTGCACAGCCCCTCACTTGCAGAGGTAGAAACAGTGCAGAATTCCTCTATCTAAAACAATCAGTGATAAATGCATTTAGACTGGACCATGCCCAGCTTGTATGAAGGTAAACACGAAGAAAATTGCTCTGTTTGATCTACATGATGAGGATTTGTAAGTCAGGCAATGATGATTCCAAACCTCGAGCTGCAGGGAGGCACCACTCAGGCAAAGCAGCCCTCGGCTGCATCACCACTCCTGGCACAACTTCATGAGCTTCCTTGGCACTAAAGAGAGAAGCAGAACAAATCCCTTCTTAAATGCAATCCTGCAACCCATTTCAATACATAGTGCTGGAAGATGAAGCTTCCGCCGAGCCAGTCAGGGCTGAAATATTGTTTATTGTACCTGAAAATTAATTTCATACCTTTTGGGGCATCACCAGATTGTTCAATCACTGACTGTGCACACAAGCCCACAAGTTTAGTGGCCAATTTTCTTCAGGCGTGCACTAAAGTGCACCCACGTAGTTAAGATCAAATTCAACCCATGGTGTTCAAACATTATGGTACATAACTCAACAGAAATGTCAGACCTGCGACCATTAAAGCATAATATTTACTGTGCACCACCACAGATTTACACAGCGCAACACTGCAACCCTTTGTAGACACACAACAGGCCAGAAAGCAAGAAGAATTAATTTTTCATACATTAGATGAGAAGCTGGTGTGGAAGAGATACCAGAGTGTACATCTGCTGTTCACCAAATCCAGCAGCATCTGAATTCGGACGTAGTATTCGAGGACATCCTGACCAGATGGCTCCAGATGACCCAGGAATGCTGTACACCAGAGCCATCATACACACTTGGCCAAAGTCTCCCATAATTATTTGTCAGGAACAGACTTGGACTGTCTCCAGTGGTTATAGTGGCAGGTAACCAGGAGGTCACAGTGACTCTGCTGGGGTGCAAAGGAAGAGAGGAGGTTTGACACCCATAAATCTGTGGCAAACTTACTGACTCCCCACTGTTTCTTATGGGCAAATGTTTAAAAGCAGGTGCAAAACTGAGTTTTAAAAATAAATATCAACTATCAAAGGTCACAGACCACAAATTTACCCTGTTTCTTTTAAGGTAAGTATAAACACTAAGAGTATTTATTCAGGCTTGCTTGCTCACGTCCATCATGAGAAACATTAGGATGTGAGAAATACCAGTGCTGAGGAAAGATGTATCCATGTTTTCTGGGACAACACACCTGCTCCTTTTCTGCCAAGAACTTCTACAAATCCAGTGAGTCAAGGCACTGACACCCTTAGGAGAAAGCCATCACCCCCAGACACAACCATGCCTCAATGCTACTCCTCAAATCACCCCAGCACTGCCAAGAGGAGCCTAAACTTCCACAGGGTGAGGACTTCTAATCCAACAGTCTACCAGGAATGAAGGCACTCTGTGGCCTCTGTACAAGCCTTTGGTGGCAATGGCTTTGGGTCACTGCCACCCACAACAGTGAGAGCACACATAAATAACACCTGCACAAATGTGTATTTATACAGAGCAAAGTAATAGCTCCATCAGACCCTTACATTCTATCAGCCAAATAATATGAGTTTTCAAAAACATTTACTACTTTAACAGGCATTTTAACAGCTCCCATAACTCAGGTGCATCTTTGCTGTAAATCACTCGACAGTTGAATACTCCACTCTGAGATTTAACCCCCTTCAGCATTTTAGAAAGGAAGAAACAACCTTCCTAAGGTTGTTTAGGAAGGCAAATAACTTTGCCAGGAGCCTGCACTGGGAGAAAAATCAGCAAGGCAGAGGCCAGTTAAACTCAACATGTGACCTTGGTTGAGCACAGAGCCCAGTCTGGACAGGAGCTGGTCCTATATCACAGAGGACAGTCCTGCCATAAACCCCAGCTGAGCACCCAGCAACATCCAGCCCTGCAGGAATAACTGAAAGCAGCAGAGAAAACACAGCTCATGTTTTTCTGCGAGGCTGCCCCCACTGCAGCCCCTGTACCCTTCAGTGCTGATAACTGGGGTCTTTCTACCTCTGGACTTGCACTGAACAAAAGGAGCTGGCAAGTCATACGGACCTGAGCCCATCCCACGCCGTAACCCAGGACAGCACATTCTGACCGAGCAGCTCTACAATCAGGATCAGGGCATTTAACGTCAATTTGGCACTTGCTGAGGGAGCAGGAACCCACACACCCTCCATAGCAAAGGGAAATCATCATCTCCCAGCTCGGCAAAGACACAGACCAGCAGAGGGGAGACAAAGGAAGCTGAAGATGGGAGAACACAGACCCAGTGGTGAACAGGGGTGTCCATACAGATTGGAAAAGGCAGGCATGAAGCACTACATTTGGAGCATGCAAGCCTCCACTTCCCCTCACCTCCCTCAGAAGTGGGGGGTTAGACCCTGACAGTCCCCATCCTGTCTCCTGCCCCTGGAAGGAAGGCCCCGTTCTTGCATTTTCTCACGTATTTCGAAGCACACAGGCAGAGGTAGGAGAGGCAGTTCAGTGTAGATGCAGGTGGACAGGAGGCCCGCAACAAACCAGTGTTTAAGAAACACTGTCTCAAATCAGAAATTTCACTCTATTTCACTCTGGCTTTATGATCTACTCTGATGAGCTCTTTAAAAAAAAAAATACACACACACTCTTGCTATATACATATATCTCCATCCAGATGAATGCTTTTGTTCACTTAGCAGAAGTTTTTCTTGGCTGTAAAAGATGGCAGGCTGGGGAGACTAAATGAGAGTGGGGAAGAGCCGAGGCAGCTGGATCCCAGTCATGTGGAGCCTGGACAGGCTCCGTCAAAAACAAGGACCAAGCCAGAGACAACCCAGCACGACTGACTTCATGCAGAGCCCTACAGGGACAACCACAACGACATAGTGAGTGTACCACATTGGCCAAATTTCCCTAAATAAATGCTTGATGAAGTTCCTGCAGGCTTTGAGTAAAGATTTATTCTTTCCCCGCCAAAGGATGTAATGCCTGAGAGACAGAGATCTCAGCTGGCTCATTCGTTCATAGATTGTACCCACAAAAATTTCCCCTGCTCTTCATAACCACACAGAGTTGAATTCCCTGGGCTGGGACTTCTTGCTGAGTCTGCTCCACGACCCTGGATGGCAGAGCAGGCACGAGCCTGGCAATGAGGTGGGGATGAACACGCTGTGCCTGGCACTGCACCTGAGACACACTGGGACTGTCCAACCTGCCACCCTCCATGTCATCTTCTGTGATGGTTTTAGTTCACCACATGCCAAAATCATACAGCCAGCTCCATGCTTGCTTAATAATAAACACCTCTAAAGCTGCTGACAAATTCTCCTTGCAAACCTTTCCTCTAGGCAACTTCTGCCCCCAATTCTCCCCGCATATCTGAATATAACGTGGGCGGGGCAGTGGCTCACCTTTCAGGCTGGAGAGAATCCCTCAGCTTGACCCCAAACCCCCCAAAATGACTGATTTACCTCCAGTAAGTCAGATCATCACATCCCGGTGAACCATGAAGGAAAACAACAGAAAAACAAGCAAGAGAATCTGCTGGGAGATAACAAGACCCTGCAAAAAATCTTCCCCAGTAGGCTTTTTCAAGGAAAGGAAGGAGGTGAAATGCTGAAGGGTGGAAGAAGGTAAATTATCAGAGTTGAGACATTTCAAATGACTGCTCCCTGCTGCGTTCAGCAGCTTTTCTTGATGGAGTCACTAATCACTGTAGTTTACCGAATGACCTTGTTGTGGCCATCTCATCTTCAGGGGACCACAAGCTGCAACAATCCCTGGTGCAGGGAAATGATGCCTTTTGGGCTGTGCTAACTCACAGCCATCGAGTGCTGACTGCAGCCTGTCACGACAGGGCAGAGGAACAGCCCACTTCACTGTAAAATGCCTCCACAGGGGCATTCATCATGTCCAACACACAGCCAGCTTTGTACTCCAGGCAGAGATGGAGAGATTGGGGCAGAAATTCTCCTGTACATACATTTAAAATACCGTCTGCCACAAGCTGGAAAAATGCTATAGAAAAATTAAATATTTACTTCTTCTGTTTGTTAGTATCTTTCATTAGTTACTCAGTTGTAACAGTCATTAAAATGCTGAAAGGGAACGTCATGTAAATTCATCACTAGCCTGGGAATACTCCTGCATTTGTGAGCAGGCTGCACGCTGCAGCAGAGCTCGGAGACTCCATTTCCCTACAGGAAAGGCCAAACGTCTGGTTCACTCACAATTTACAAATGATTATTTTTCTAATTAATCATTCATCAAAAAACACAAATAGCAACAGGGCATGAAAGGCAGTGCTGGTGTTAACAGAAGGCAGAGTCAATCCATCACAGTCTCACCCTCAGCTGCTCACAGGGGAGACCCTCCAATGCTGTAACTCCAGTGACTGCATGGAAGGAGCTGGGGAAATACCCTCTGTTCTCCCCAGCTGCCCTAAGGAAAGGGATGATGTATGCTTCTGTTATGCCAAACCTCATCTGTGTAAACTGGAGTTGCAACAGATCCGTGAAACATATTGGGAGCTGCACATGATGATGGTTTGAACAGGCAGGTTGGGATCGTGGGATGAGGAAAGGAAGGGCCAACAGAGCAGTGTGGGAGGAGAGAAAACTTGGACAACACGATGCACCAGAGCTGGCAGTGACCCATGACAATAACCCTGAAGGAAAGAGGTCATAAGAAAGACATCAGAACAATGAACAGGGACTTGCTAAATACCTTCCCTGGCTCTCTGTAGTAGTGACTTGGCTGCAACTAATCCAGCACCTCCTGGGCCCACCTGGATCCAGAGGAGATTGGTCCTCTCAGCTCTTGTGCTCCCAGACCACAGAACTATGACTGTTAGTGCCAGCACACTGTTGCCTTAGTTTGGATTAAGGATCTTTGGAACCACAAGCAAATCCTCTCACTATCCAATGCATGTGGATATCACCTCTCCCAGTGTTCAGTTTGGCCCTGCAGCCCTCTGTGCTGCTCACTCACAGGACAAGACAACATATCCACACACCTGGAGTCTGAAGGTAAACTGTAAATGCACATGATTTTCACCAATTCTCTATTCTCACCATGATTAATCCAGGTTAGATATCTCCTGTACTCCAAGGACAGATGTTTGAAAGGTGTAACAGTTTCCAGCACCCCAGACCTCCCTTGCTTTGGCTCTGCTGTATCAGGCTGCTGGCCAACCCCTTGCCAAGCCAACGACTCTTCAAAAAGCAGTATGAACTGGTAAAAGCAGGCAGC